GTGCCGAACCTGCTGCTGAGCGTCATGGCTGCCAGGAGGGCAAGGAGTGCGTCCTTATGTCCACTGTCTCATCCACCTCCTCCTACTCTTCCTCCTCCTTCTCCTCCTCGTGCTATCCCCTCCCGCTGATTCCCCCTCCCGCATCCTCATCCAACTCCTTCTCTTCACCTTCGTTCTTCTCCTCCAGCCCCTCCTCCCCGCGCATCCTCCCCCACCCCCCAGACAGTGAAAAGGAGAGGAAGGGAGAGGAAGGGGGGAAGGCAGTGAGCGCGCAGAGAGAGAGAGAGAGAGAGAGAGAGAGAGAAAAAAAAAAAAAAAAAAAAAAAAGAGAGAGAGAGAACGAGAGAGAGAGAGAACGAGAGAGAGAGAGAGAGAGATCCACAACGAATCCCTGGGATGTCTTCCATTCTGTGGAGGATACTAGAGACTAACCACTACGTGGCAAAGTCGCGACGAATAGTGGACCAAGGTCTTGCAACGAAGTTCACGGGATCAGTGATGCAACCGAGCAAGACGCTGCCGTAAGAAGAACACTATCACTACTACCCCCATGAAGTAGAGACACCCAGCTAGAGACAGTCCAGAGTCTACTGACCTCAGAATGCGCACCGAGGGCTGGGCCAAATACTCTTGATATGGCGAGACCCATTGCAACAGACCGACGCGCGCCTGTTCCAATCCCCACATGATATACTTCGCGGGTCAGCATAATCTGGCAAATACCGAGACCAACCACGTCCAGTCCAATGGTGACTGCGTGCCCCCCGTTTTGTGTTTACAGCACTCTGCGCACGAGCACCTGACTGCGTTCACTTGACTAGACGTCTAGCCTTACACGTAGCAGTTCTGATATGCTCGTTGGAGCCACGCCGTACTTGATTGCCTCGACGCACCTGGTAACCAACGCCGGTGACCCTTCAGGAGAAACGAACGGCAGCTGCTAGCCGAAGGGTTTCAATGGCAATCCTCGCCAGAGGGGCGTCCGACGCAAGCGGCGCCAACTTATCCCTCAACCGACGGGGGGGGGCTGCAAAGTAAGCGACCCCACCCATGATCATGCGGGAAGAGTTAGGACCCAGATTCATGACCTGAGCATCAGTGCCACTTCAAAGAGCCTGAACACCATCAACCACGAGCCCAAGATGCAGGAATGGGCAGACACGAAGAACTGCATCGAGCTAAGGATCTTTAAACGAGCATCCCGCACGAATCCGAACTGCTGCTGGAATCCATTCGCCGACGACACAGCGGCATGCGACGACCCCTGGATATGGACACAGTCCACGAAGCACCCTCAGCAGCGCAGGTTTGAGAGCAACTTCGCCCGCTTTCTGGATCAAGAGGCGGTGGCGAACCTGCTGAGATGCCTTCTGAATGTTCAAGAGAAAAACAAATTCAGATAGACCACGCGACGCAGCATACTCCGCCAAGACTCCCGTGCGCCATACACACTGCTGGCAGGTATGATTGCGCACACCGCGAAGGTATGGACGAGTGTACAGTCGAGCCCATTGCATCGAGTACGTGTGTCTGTAATGTCGCGCGAGCGTACTGACTCATGTAATAAACAAACCCACCGTGCGTTCACCGACATCCAGCCTCGGTGGCAGGCCAATGACAAGCCGCGCGAATCTAGGGAAACCGTCCAAGACGAAGCATAACACTCCAAATATTGAACAGAGGTTCCAGCGCATCATCAGGCAGCCAGACATGATGGCGAGGATGAATCCAATCGAGACCCACAGACGCGCGCGCACAGCACTTGCTGCACATCCCACGATACCTGTCCAATGTAGGCCATGAGAAGAATGTAAGGTGCTCGGTCGAGACACGTGGTCAAGATGGACCCTTACAACAATCATCGCGCATTCCGTGCGGGTTTCAGGGGTTCCCACATCCCGCGTCAGAACTGCCATCGCCCCTGCAAATGATGCGCAGCGGTTCCACGCGGAGGTTCGGCGGCCGAAGGGTTCTGGGTGGCGTCAAAGGCGTTCCAAATTAGGCTACCTTTTACAAACCGATGTGCCGCTGATCCCCCGCATTCCATGACAGGCCTCATTGCCCATGAACGCCAACTCTGGCAGAGCGGGTCTTCAACCAAGCAATGGTAGACAGGTCAAAGGCAGGGAGACGACGCGCATATAGGCGCCACCATGACCACTCCGAGGAGTTGCTCCGTCTCTACTGGAGGGGTGGTAGCGCTGGACTCTGATTTCAGAAGCGTCGATGGCACCCCGGGGCTGGTCTTCTGCCAGGTAGAGGAGACCACCCAGCAAATAGAAAAGAAACCACTAAACCTTCCCTTCAAAGGATGACACCACTCCGCCTGGGGAGAAACAAAGCAAAAAGATAAAACACTGGAAACCAAAAACAAACAAAAGCAATAACAAACACTGCATTGTTCTTTTATATAAAGAGCAGCTAAGGCAGTGGGATGCACTTCCCCCCCCCTCTTGTCGGGCGATGCCTCTGGAACCTGGCACACCCCCACAAGGCTCCCAGCTGACATCGTAAATCACCGTCGAGCGCAACTGCCCAGCTCCCGAACAGAGCCGATATTCAGGGATGACAAGTGACTTCCCAACGATAGTGGTCAAATCTCGTCCGACCGAACCCTCGGCATGAGGGGCCACTGGCTGATGCTTGGGAATGAGTGGCGATACTAGCACATTGCACACTGCAGATTGGAAGAGTTGGCGGAGCACAGAATAGCAAACATTGGAGAAAGCACCCGCACGTTCACACGCGTGCTTGTCTGGAGCGATAAGTATACCACCCACGAGTTCCAAGAAGCCCGTGGACCTCAACTCGTCAGGAGACGTGTTCCAAACAGCTGAGATATTGCAAAGAAACCCGATCGCTCTGGCGACCGCTGCAACCTGCATCTGCAGCTGGGAACTTCGATGAGATCCCCCGTCTCCTGTATGACATACAGGGCTGAATCATACTGAATCAGGACAATGAGGAGCCGACAGAGCTCTTGCATCGCCACTGAATCAAGCCCATGCAGGTGTGCTGTGAGGTAATTGCCTGCGCTCAACCAAGATGGAGCATTCACAGGTAGCAACATCCAAGAAGGTGCAGGTGCGCGACTATGGCGGGGAGGTGACTGTGTGTCCAGGAGACGACGCTCCTGTCCCTGGAGCCCCAATTGGATAGGCAGCACCGTCAACCACACCTTCTGCCACAGCCGCCTCTGCATAAGACTACACCTCCGGCGGCATCTCTGCCAAGGGAAAACGCTGGCTGCTCGGTCGCCAGGTGCTGACTTCTTGGCCAGAGGGGGGGGGGGTACTTCCTCACGCGGGGGCGCAACACCCAGTTCCATTTCGACTGCAGACCTCCTCCTCCTCCTCCTCCCTTTCCTCCTCCTCCTCCTCCTCCTCCCTTTCCTCCTTCCATTTCGACTGCAGACTCCTTACCCTCCTTGGTGCTCCCCCGCTGCCCGCACCAACCTACGTTCTGCGAAGCTGTGTCAGCCCACCTGGCCCGTCGAGACGAACGAGCACGGTGGTGTGAAGGAGCGACACTTTGTTCCTGGCACCCCTGGCCCTGGTGAGCTTAGCATGGACACGAGCAATGTCATCTTGATCCTGAACTGCTGTAGGGAGGCTCTTGTTTTAAGGTCCTCAAGACGTGTCTGGAGGGCCTGAATGACTGCCTACTGCTGGGCAAACGGAACCTCTGGCTGATTGGGCTCATCAGGATCATCACGTGGAGCAAACTGGCCATCGTTATCATGATAGAAAACTCCATCCGATACTTCACTCCGAAACGAACACATGCTTCATCATCCGAGAGGGCACCGATTCGTTCTTCAAAGGTCCGCGCGTCGCCAGCAGGCAGACGAGAAGAACGAGTACCGCGACCAAGAGGAGCAGAGGCAGCAGAAACTGGAGCCAACCCACCCGGGATGTCGGCCGCCCCTCTTTTCCTGTTCTCTTCTTGTCGTTGTCAGCACTTCTCCCTGCCGCAGTCCTTCCGGACTCGAGATGACCCCCGAGATGCCTCATCCGTATCTTCCTCAGTCCTGCTCGTCCTGCCAGGAATGGCATCTCTACGAAACGTACAACCTCTGCGGAGACAGGTACTATAGATCCAAAAGACTGCCCCTGCCCGGCATCGCATTAAGCAGAGCAGACAAGCTAGAGCATCTGCACGGACGGGCGCGCGCGAACTGCGTCGGGCGCCCCTCGATGCTTGTCAGCCCCCGCGACAAGGGGTTCGAAATTGAGCCAAAATGGCTACAGAGGGCATCTCGCCTGGGCATCGTTTCTGGATGGGCTGGTGGGATTACGCGAACAGTCCAGAATTCTGAGGGAATTTCAGCCGCGGCGACGACAGTGTCCCAGAAGATCAACCAAAATTGAAAAGAAGACACAGCATCGATCCTCGCTCCATGAACCCCGAACCTCCTCCTCTTCATCATCCTCCTCCTCCTCCTCCTCCTGCTCCTCCTCCTCCTCCTTCTCCTCACCCTTCCTCCTCTTTTTCCTCCTCCTCCTCCTCCACCTGCACTTCCACATCCCCCCGTCTTCTTCCTCCGACGTCGCTATGGCGTCATGGCGTCATGGCGTCAGCCCTAAGGATCTCGATCCCCTCTCTGAAGCTGGCTTTTCGTCCCGAGCCGTTCTTGGCACGGCCCCAGGAGTAGAAAACTGCCTACGGATGCCAACAACAAATCTGGCGTTGCGATAGCTGTTCTGCGACGCCGGGGTCTGAGGGCCCCTTTTCCCTCCCTCGCGAGGGGCAGCGATGGGTGGGGACCGGCTCAGGGGTAAACCATCCAGCTGGAAAATGGGGATACATCGCTGACAGGTTGGCGATAAGGCCCTGGCCCCTGTCGACGATCAACGGGCGATGGGGGGTCGATGCATCTCCGCCTGAGCCTGTCTACCCATAACGTTGCCCCTGTCCCCCCCCCCCCCCACACCCGCCACCGCGACGCCAGCAGCAGGCGGCCAAGGAGTGCGAGCTCCCTCCCCTCTCCCCACCCCCGCCTTGTAGCACACCGCGAAGGAGAGCAGCTGCGCGGCGGCGCTGGCGCACAGGAAGAGGGGCAGGTAGCAGGCCTCCGGGCCGAACGGCCGGTCGTCGTCGTCGGCGGAGGAGGAGGACCACTGCAAACACAACACCCATCAACGATGTTGGAATCAACTTTCCCTCCAAGCTCACTCTTCAAGGGCCCCTTCTAAGAAATCATTTCCACTGAAGAACATGCCCCGTTGGGAGACAACCGTTTGAACATCCTGAAGCCTGCCCAAACACCATTCCCGGGACTCCAACGCTAAGAATCAACCTCACTGTCGCGTCTTAACGACCCTGAATCGTGCCAGAACGCCATTCATGGGACCACAACACCGCGAATCAACGTAATTGTTGCGCCACGGCAATCCTGAATCGTTCCAAAACGCCATATCTGGGACGTTAACTGCGGGAATTCATGCCACTCTTGCGAATGTTTAAACCACATGTGTGCGGCGCTGAGGCGAGAGACGCATCTTTAAAAGGAACCGCCCTGAATCTGCGAAACCCCTGCAATGTGTTAAGACGAGTGCGCGCGGCACTGAGGCAAGGGCCACATTTTGACAAGGAACCGCAAACCGTGAAACTTTCTGTAGTGTGTTTCAACGAATGTGCGCGGCGCTAGCGAGAGCCACATTTTGAAAACGGCCCGCCTTCATTCCGTGAAACTCTTTCATTTCGAAAATCCAATGCGCGCGGCGCTACGGCGAGAGCCACATGTTGGAAGCGGCCTGCCCGCCATATGAAGTTTCGGCAACCTTCTACGCTTCAGGGTCATAAATAGTAAGGAAATCCCAAGCGAAACGCCCAGCCCGCCCGTCCGACTAGCCTCAGGGTGCGACAGGGAGTTATTTGCAAGGAAATGGAATGGGGGAGGGAGAGGCGAAGGAGGAGGAGGAGGAGGAGGAGGAGCAGGAGAAGGAGGACGAGGAGGAGGCAGAAGAAGACGAGGGGGACGAGAGGGAGTTGAGGGAGAGCGAGGAGGAGGAGGAGGAAACGAGGAGGCCGAGCGCCTCAGAAGAGGAGGAGGAGGAGGAAGAAGAAGAAGAAGAACAGAGAGGAGGAGGAGGAGGAGGAGGAGGAGGAGGAGAAATGGGAGAGGAAGACAGGAGAGGGGCAAGTAACAGCCGTGTGTGCCGAGAGCGCGGAAGCAACGAAAGTTCGAGAATCGAGGCTCGAGTTTCGAGGAGGTGTTGGAGTTTGTTTTGTTGTCTCTGGGCGTTTTCTCGTGCCGAGGTTGGACCCGCCTCGAGATCAGGCCAGAACAGACTTCCGGGCAGATCTGGGGGCAGGTACCACCCATCTGGACCGAGGGGACGGAACAAACAAAGGTTCGAAGATCGCGGGGATGCTACGTTTTGCCCTCGACCGTCGAGGATCGAGGAGAGAGGTTTCGAAACTTGATGGGCATGAATTTACGCTGCTGGCACATGCTCCTGACTCTAGAAGCATCTGCTGGGGACGAAATACAAATCCCACCAGCCTTCCGAACGGAGGTGGTTAAGAGCGCTTCATCTTCCATCCACCTTTCTTCCCCTTCAGGGAGAAGGGTACCCCTTCCACTACCCCCTCCCCGTGGACTTGGACGGGGAGTCCCGCCAGGCGTTAGAGCGTCCAAGATGGCCTCGACGACAAGGCCAAAAACATTCATTTGGCATTTGGTTGTGGGCCCATTTTGGCCTCCTGAGGGGGGGGGAGGGGGGGGGGCGCTAATTGTGCGTCCCCCTTCGTTAATCGATTCCCAGATGACCCTGAGATGGCCCCAAAAGTCCCCAAGAGTGCTCGAAGAGGCGCCCTGGAGACCCCCAGAAGCCTCCATGAGGTCCTCAAGAGTCTCCTCACTGAGCGACCCCCAAAAGGCCCCAAGAGGCTGCCACGAAACACGCACCCCTGGCCCCTTGGCCTCTTGACAACGGAAACGCACATCCACGGGGCCCTGTAGATTCACAGGCCCATCCACGAGGTGCGACACCCCATCACCAAACACGCGGGACGCGCCAGTCTGGTTCGCGTGCAGCCGACGGGCAGTGCAGCTCTGAATCGACCGAAGCGGGGGCCCCCCCTCACCGCTCGGACTCGCCAGATATACCACACATGCCCACTGGTCAAGATTTTGGTCCTCATCAGCTGCCGCCGCGTCCGCTGGACCCAGCGTCTCCTGCGACGGTCAGGCACGGGATCTCACCCTCCACGACAAGACGGATTCTCTTCACGCTGGGCAGCCATAGGCACGGTGATCTCCTGTCTTCCCGTACACTGCTGCATCCGAAATCATTCACTCGCAGATTATACACTCGGGGTGTCGGGCGTCACGATCGGTTCGAAACTTCCGCCCTAAAACTTCTCACAAGCGACGCTCACGGTCCCGAGGGCACGGCTCTGCCCTCCAGCCGCGTTTACAATGGTCGGAGCCCTCAGAGGAACGACACGTTTTCAAGCACCTGCCCGCGAAACGAGCCTCAGAGCGATAACATTGCAACCGCAACCCGCGCCAACGATGAACCTGATCGAGACGAGTCCCACTGGGCCTTTCGACCCAGGAGCTGCACCCGTCTCATCCCTCTCATATCCAGGGGCAACACACACACCTCGCGTTCAAGCTCGAGAGAGCCTTGAACAAGGCGGCTTGCGATCCAACTCTTCCGGAGCAGCCGGTCCCTAGCTCCAGGGAAAAACTGGACCCGTCGATCTCCACTATAGAAGACTCTACCAGATATCCGAGGACCTCTGTCTGGGGCCTCCGGCATCTATGTGATCGGCGCCTGGCGGCGCAAGCAAGAGTTCGGTTGAAACCTGCATTCCTGCTTCGCGCCTCCGCGCCTCTGCCACCCCCCCGGCTGCTGCCGGCTGCGAGACCCCTGAGCGGTCTCTGAGAGCTCGGCCGGGCGCAGACGCGCGCGCCTCACTGCCTGCCCCTGACCTTCTGCGCCCCGTGGCCGCGCGCGGGGCCGCGACCCAAGAAGTGGCCGAGCCCTCCTTGCCCCCCCCCTCCTCCCCCCCGACCCAGCGGCGGCGGCGAGGCACGCGCGCCGGCTCTGCGCTGCAGGGGAAGATGGTGCCGTAGTGCTGGCCGAAGGCGTACACGCCTCGGAGCGCCCGCCGCCGCCGCCCGAGGGGCCGCGCCGCGGGGTCGGAGGGCGTGCAGAGCCCCAGACCATCTGCGCTGCTCTCTGCCGCGGCGGGGCCCAGGGGGACACACCAAAGGAACAGGCACAAATCCCACGATTCCCCAAGAATTCCCCATGGTTCCTGGAGGTTCGACATCCCCTCCACTTGCCGCATGTTCTGGATTTTCGTGGCAATCGAGGATGATTTGCGTCTGTGTGTTGTTCCCTTCCCGATCTCTGCCGCGGCGGGGCCCCTTCCCGCCCGCCCCATCCCTGAGTTCAGCGGCGCACCGAGGGGGGGGGGAAGCGAGAGGGGGCGCGCCGACAGGGGAAGGCTGGGAGGTTCGGGATCGAGCCTACAGCTACGTTGCTCCCATCGTACTTACGGACCAAATCCCAGAAATAATTCCGAGCACCCAGAAAAGTGTCGAATGAGTGTCGAAAGAGTGTCGAAACAGTGTCGGACGAGTGTCTCCCAGGGCCCGACACGTGAAAACCCTCGAGATTCGGTACTTTTTCTGGTGCTCGAAATTATGTCGCGTGATCAAGGCTAAAGTAGGTTGGAACATCATAAGCCTACAGGTGTTCGGGCGCATTCGCCGGTGCCGAAAGGCTTTCCAACCCCGGGGTGCTTTCCAACGGCTGCGCCGTGCCAAGAGCATTCTGGGGTGCAGGGATCGTCCCGAAGGACCGCTGGAGACCCGAGTTGTGATCCGGAAATCGAACCCGGCGGCGCGCAGAAAGGGGGGAAGTGAGAAGGGGCAGGCTTTCTCATAAGGCGGCAAGGCTTCTCATAAGCCCTCCGGCCTTAAGCCGTCTGCGTCTTCGGAATAAGCGTAGGAAGCTTTTCAGAAGGCCGGGGGACTTCTGAGCCGTCTGAAAAAAGCCCGCCCCCTCTGCCTTCCCCCCTGGGCGCGCCGCCGAAAAAACATCAACGGCAGAAGCATAAACTTTCGAAGCTCCGCGCGGATGTCTTACACCAGCGCCAGACGCGCCACCAGAGGGGCCCAGCGCCGATCCAAGAGACCCGCGCGGTCCTTCGAAAGGGTGTGCTTACGCAGCTCTTTCTGCAGCGGGCGGAGGCGAGGGGCCGATGATCCGCAGGACGCGTGCTTGTTCACAAAAGCCGCTGAGCATGCAAAGCACGACGCGCCGGGGGCCGCCAGGCGCTCCAGCGTCACCGGCGGAGGTCGGCCCGGTGATTCGACACGGGGCTACCCTGCCCTGGGGCCCTGGGCCTCTCGATCCCTTTCTGCGAGCCGACGTGTCATCCCGGGCCGTGTTCTGACCGTCTCTCGTGTGGTGGTGCTTGCTAATAATACCTCTTGCGCCCGCTACCGTATCACATTCCGTGTTCTAGTGTGCTCCCGATGGTGGTCCCTCCAGCGGGCTCTAAAGAGAGATGCTTAGGGCTCTCTGCCGCCAAGGATGTACTATCCCGAAACGTCCAGGGCGTCACGCAGAGGTGTTGCATCAGGGCCAGGGTGAAGGCGGGGGCGAAGGGGGAGGAGGAGTAGGAGGAGGAGAGAAGGAGGAGGACGAGGACGAGGAGGAGGAGGAGGGGATGGGGCAGGAGGCAGAGAGGGGCAAGAGAGGAGCTGGCTGGCCGGCGAGGCGCCACGCAAGAGAGGCGGAGCCACGGCGCAGGGCACCAGAATTCCCGGCCCCACCGCTGGTAAACCCCCCAACAGCCCGCGCGGGCATCTGACAATGAGGGGCAGCGAGGGGCAGGGGGAAAGAGAGACGAGGAGGGACGGGGGGGGTGATGAGGATGAGGAGGATGAGGATGAGGATGAGGATGAGGATGAAAACGAGGATGAGGATGAGGATGAGGATGAGGATGAGGATGAGGATGAGGAGGAAGAGGAGGACCAGTGCAAACCCAAGAATCATCAACGATATTGCAATAAAGCCTCCCTCCGAGTTCCCTCTCCATAAGC